TATCTATCATATATATATCTCACGAATGAAAAGTGATTACTGTCTAAGCGTGGCCATATATGTATATATCCATACCTGAAAATAATCACTTTTCTTTACTTCGGAGCATTTTATTCTCAACCTAATTAATATGAACGAAGATTTTGGCTTATACTCTTACTAGAATCTTAGGATGGCAATAGTTCGCTTTTGATATTTTACTGATTAGCAACACTAATACATTTCCTTATTCTATTTCCTTGTTTTTCCTCCTTTTATTCTGCTCGTCTCAACGTCTGGATACCACATGGGCTGAGTTCGGGACCGCCTTACTTATCTTGGTCTGTCTTCATCATCGAAACTCTGCTATTGGATCATTTCTGCATTCGCCATTGTTTCACACACCTGCACATATACACTCCTACTAACCACTTTAAATGTGCTTCGGCTTTTTGCCTATTTCAGTTGATCTTAGAAGGTACTATTCCTGCGGGCTATCCGGATGCCAGAATCTGTGTCGACAATATTACCAGCTACACAGAACCATGCAGTGGTCAGTTAAACTTCTCCCTTTTGTGTACTTATTAACAAACACCAAGATACTTTTCTATGTAACGGATAGAGTTTTGTATAATAACAAGGATTTGCTAGCTTTTGCCCAACTCAAACATACATATTTATATGAGGTAGCATATAATTGTTGTGGAGATCTTGTGGAACGTACTTGGTCCTGAGTCCTCTGCGAAAATATTTGTCATTTTCAGCTTCAGCCGTTGTCTTGGTGCATTCCTGAATTAAAGGTTCGAGGCTGAAAGTCATAAATACTATGGCAGAAGACTCAGTACTAAGTACGTTCGACAATATCTCTCCATTGCACCACCAAGTTTCGAAAACGAGGTCAAACCAACACTAAATAGTTAAAAGAGATTGAGACCAAACAAAAAGCTACACGATGTTAGTCTTCATATTTACGAACTTATTTTCTTCTTTCTGCATTTCTAATTCAACTTGTATGGCTAAGATTTAATCTATGTCAAATTGACATTCGGAATGATTTTCGTAAATTTTGACATTCAACCAAAAACTGATAAATCTCATTAGTAGGGTCGAAATCTTGAGCTAATCACAGCACTTCGTCTTTTAGTATTTATAGGAAATAACATAAACATTTATACCTTAGCTCTATTATGTACTGTGTAGACCAAAAGGGAAATATTATACTGAATTCTATTTATACTCGGTCTCCTGGTTGGCCCCAGTTTATCTATACGTCTATTTATATCTTATATTTCGTATATACGTAGAGTTTTGAGACTACCAGTAAATCAGTAATATGAGATGTATTCACCCTATTTCGTTTAGGATGATGAGATTCTGGTGGTACAATTTTCTACAATGATATGAGTAGAGCTGACGTTTCAATTGAATTTCACATTCTGCACTGTCACGGTTGATAAGACCTATGCAAGGTTGAAACTGCAGTCCACCCTGGATGAGAACAACTTTTGGGAAAACAAGGCTCTGTGAACTTGAATGTAAACGTCAGCTCTATTCATATAATTGTGGGAAAATTCTACAAACAGTCCTTCATCACCTTAAACGAAATAGGATAAATACACTTCATATATTTCTATCTTGTTTTTCTTTCATAGGTAGCGTATTATCCCCAGTTTAGTGCTATTATTTGTAGTCTGTTTCATGCTTCATGGGAGACTATATATTCGCTTTTCCATTCCTTTTAAATTATTTTAAAGTTTCTTTACTTTCCTTACTCGCTTCATAAACACCAGAATGGTATTGTGGAACTGTATTCCACAGGTGTTTCTGAGTTTTTAAACTAGATGCCTATGTCTAGCCTTGAAATAGCTACAGCCTTGTAATTCGAGGGATATATCGTCATTCATGACTTGTTTTCGCTAATATTGAGGGTTCAGACAAAAGCAAGACGTCGTTTAGGCATTTTTTGAAAAATATTTTTAAGTTTATCTTACTTAATATTTCGCATTTAGTATTGTTTCGAGACTACCAGTAAATCAGTTTTATGAGATGTATTCACTCAATTTCGTTTAAAGTGATGAAGGACTGGTAGAAGAATTTTCCCACAATTATATGAATAGGGCTGAGATGAGAACAACTTTTGGGAAGGCAAGGCTATGTAAAATTCAATCTAAACGTCATTTCTATTCATATCATTATGGGAAAATTCTTCTACCAGTCCTTCATCGCCTTAAACGAAATTGGGTGAATACATCTTATATTTACCTTACTTTAATGGCGGATGCAAAAACTAGGCGTTTCCTTACTTATAGGTAACTATTTTGAAACGTTTATTAATTAGATCTTAGATATGAAGATCAAGATAGTGTAACCTTCTCTTCGGTCGCAATCTCCCTTACCTTTATAGTCTTGGTTTGACCTCGTATTCGCAACTTGGTCAGAGCATCAGGGAAACCTTGCGGAACCTACCTAGTTATGCGTCCTCTGTCATAGTATTCGTGATTTCCATCATCGGGCCATTAATTAATTACGTCCCTAATTAATGCATACTTAGTGATTTTGCTTCTTATTCTACTGGCGCTTATCTTTAGTATTTATTGTATTTTTGCCGGATTGCTTACTATTATGCGGAGACTCCTTTTTTCCCTTATTGCATTTGATGTTTTTCTCACTTTAGTATCTTATGGTCACTCACCGAGCAATGCTCTTATCACATTTTGGCCACTTCTTATGGTCTAGGCAACAACTATCTATCTACATTTATCTATGCTTCACTTTATGCCTTAATCTCTTTATATTGTCCTCTACCTACTCGTTTAACGTACTTCTATTTTCTTCCCCACTTCTACATTCTTCACACTTCTCGTTTCCTGCGGTAATTTCATCTTTTTACTTTTTTTAATTATAATAGCTCTTGAACCTGTTGTGGCCAAGCGCGAGTTCAATTTCACGCGGTATTTTATCTTCATATCGCTTGGGGCTCTTCTTCTTGGCCTTACAGTGCCAATTCTATTCTTGTTAGTACTAATTTGCATCTGTCGCCGACGACACAAGCTCTCCAACTCGGCTTACGCTAACGGAAAACTGTTTTCCACCAATCTTTGGTATTACATTGGGGGTAAGGAGATTGCTGAAGAACCGGCTAGCATGCGAACGGCAAACACCCTGCCCCGATCAGGTAAGACTAGTTGTTTCACGTTTCTTTTACTGACCTTCGATACCGCCTTCAGTAAACCTTGTTACTTCCTTAAATAAACTGTGAAACGGTAGACACTACCCGATGAGTGTGCATAAATTCGAATATTTTACCAGTTGCTAGCAAGTTGGTTTTCTCACTATGATTCGCTAAATCAATTAATTAGCTGATATTATTTTTGCATGCTGGTGAAAAATCTTATTTGTTGGTTAAGAAATTAACTCCCCGTGGCAGATCGATTGAAGCATTTGTATCTTGATTCTCAAACGTTGACTATTAACAGCTTATATGTACGGAAAAATATCTAGTTATGACGGCTTTTATTCGCCCTCAACTCGAAGAAATTTGTGGAATAACCATGTTTTAAAAGTTATTCATTCTCTTTTATTATTTTCCGTTCAAATACTTTGGTAGTCTACTTTTGCTTTTTTGGGCATATTTAGGGGCCGGTATTTTCAATAGATTAGACAATTATAAACTACGGTCTAATTTAGATGATTATTCTTTATTTTAGTGTAGTTAATATTCGATAATTTGCATTCTCTTATTTTTCCATCCACAATTATTAGAAATCCCTTCTAGCGGATTTCATCGTTATGGAAACCACTTTCCTGCACCCCATCTTATGCTTATCTAGTTTCTTGATCCTTTATTTGGGTTTTTTGTTCACTTGTCGACTTTTTCCAGAGTCTGCTACCTGCTTTACCCATTTTATCCGACAGACGTTCTTAGCACTCATCTTACCTATTACTACAAATTTTGCACTTAGTTTATCCATTGTTCACTTTTTGGTTATGTTTCCTAACTTTGCGCTCCACTGATGCAAATCACGCATGGATAAATCGAAATTTATGCAGCTAGAATTGAGTCAATATCATTAATAGGACTATGATTTAGATATTTTAAATAATTGAAATATATATATATATATGATAGACTAACTTAGATAGGCGAATCTATAACTGCAGGTTACACTGGATAAGTTTACCCTTTAAGAAAATGGGCTAGACGAATTTAATGCTTAGATTCCCCCTAATGTTTATTCATCTTTAAGCATGATCCAAGCTGATCTTCTTTATAGAAACTTTCCGGACTCTGGCAATGCCTAACTTGACCTGTTTTTTTCTGTCTGTGTTCATCAGCCATGATGTCAGCCGCAATGGCCACCAGTGGTAT